AAGGATTAACCACCTGCTTAATATTAATTAACCTCAGGGGGAACTCCTTGTGTATTTAAGAGTTTGTTATGTGCTTCATTCAGCACTTCGCAGTATCAAGATGTGAAGCTGGCAGTGGATTCCTTCCCATGGTTTGCCATCAGACCCAGAGCTGCAGTGAGACCATGTGATGGTCAAGCCACAGTGCTTGGTTCATACACGAGCTCGTGAGTGAGTTTTGTCTACAGAACATCTACCCCAGCTTTAGCCATTGGACCTGGGTCTCTAGCAGAGCTCCTGCCATCCCCGTGCCACCAAAGGGGCCACGACCAGTGTGAGCATCTCCCTCCCCACGCAGCACATGAGCTCTGCGACTTCACCAGCCTGGAGGCAACAATGAACCCCAAGGTGGGTTTTTTAAGGACAAGCCACTTTCCAAAACTACTAAGAAAAGAGCAAAATAGGATTGGAGAGGTACGAAGAGGACAGAAGGATGGTCCAACTGCTAAGACAGGACAAAGACAGTGTTGCCAGCACTTAGACGGGACATTCCACCCAAGAGCTGGTTGGTGTACCAGAGCAGCAGATAGGTGGTAGAGAGGGGAGGGCAAAGAAAATTATAGACCCAAGTCCTGGAAAAATGTTAGAACTAATCATTTAACAATTGCTAAGTATTGAAATTATAATTAGGTGATATATACCCAGCGAACACTGCCAAGAACAACTTGCATGGACCAATCTAATTTCGTTCTGTGACAAGATAACCAACCTAGCAGACAAGGAGAAAGATGCACGTGCGATAGTATCTTGAGTACAACTCTGGCCAGCGTCCTGCACAGTATCTTCACGAGCAACTGAAGGAAAAATGGTCTAAATGAAGTCATAGTAAAATTAAGCATTGCCAATGGTCCCCTGAGCGCACCCAGAAACATTGCACCTCTGGAATATGAAATTACCCTCACCCTTTCAAATCTGGCATTTAATGTCCAACGTACAGTAAGGTTGATAAAAGCAGTGTTAAAAATTTCCTGGCTTGTGGCATTTTAATTCAAGCCATTTGAATTCCCTGACCTCTGTGCCTCCCTGTGTACAGCAGGTTTTGTTCATTTTCCCCACAAAAAGACAGTTTTGGGAAGATAGGTTGAACATGGTAGAGAGTGCACATTACACACATCAAAATCATAAGAATTCAGGGTTTAATTCCTACTGCTGTACAGTATTTGGTCTCCATTTATTTCAGACATGTCACATTACTTAAAAAAAAAAATCTTTTGAAGTCATTTCAATCTTTTTCATTTCTCAAGTTAAAAAAATAAAAACAAAAAGAAAAAGCCCAACAACTCTCTACTACCTACTTTCCAACTTCTCCATGCCAACACCAATGCCCAGCTAAAGCCCAGAGAAGGTCCTACAAGGAAACAGCGGAACACTTGGTTTTACAGGGATTTTTGGGAGCAGAATGAGGAGCGGATGCAGATGCTGCAGAGCAGGGACATGGCTTACACCTCCACCTGCCACTCCTCGCTGTTCTTCAGTGGCTGTGGGACGACACCGTCAACCCCCAAAACCGCTATACTCCAAGTAATCCTGGTGGTCTCCCTTGTGACACGCCTTAGGGTGCTCTCCAGTTAAGGCTACAGAACATTAGAACTTTGCTGAGCGCAATCTCTCTTTCCTCCCAACAATTTCCGATAGGGAAAAAAAAAAAGTATACTGGGTTTTTTTCCCCAAGAAATCCTGGATATCGAGCAACACCACCAAAAGCAGAGTTTGAACCAGAGTTGTCTGACACCCAGGAGTCCCAGGCAAACCAAATTCCCCAAAAAAACTGCCTCCGGGATTCCTCCCAAAACTGCTTCAAACGGAGCCTGCGGATCTCTCTAATTAGGCTGGTCAGCAAGGGCAGCCACCACACGGCCCGATGATGGGCTGTAAGCCCATCCATCATCGCGTCAGCCCAGGGCCAAGGGAAGCACCTTCAAGTAATTAATCTTTCCCAGCCTGGGGAGCGCATTCGGATCGAGCATGGAGGAAATGCAGCCAAGATGGACAGATTGGTATTAGGACAGAGGACACCCTCTTGGTAGTACCACCCTTTATTAAAAAAAAACAAACCCAAAACCTGAGTCCCCTTTTCTTTGCTCTCTTTCATGAAATTAAAGATTTCAAAAATGAAGTCCCCAGCAGTTCTTTTTTTCCCCATCCCACTGTATGACCACTTGCTGTGACAAGCCTCCAGCTCCTTGGGCGAGCTGGGGCTGCCGAAACCTGCTTGTTCTTTGTATGTGACTTCCATGCCAATTTATTACCGAAAGGCTATTAAGCAGTGCCATTCCCACCACCTTTACTGGTGCAGGATCTCAGGGTTTTCTGCTGGATGCCTAGAATATCACCGCTGGACTACACACCACTGTCGGACAGTAACTATCTGCAGGGATGCTTGTACCTGTTTTTATTTATTTGTTAGATATAAAAAGAAGAGGTTTAGAGCACATGCAGAACATGTCCATCAGGGTCTCCCCCCCGTGCGAGCAGACATACGTATGCCGGCAGGAAGGCCACGCTCTTTTGTTCCAGCCATACCATGATCTAATACAGTGGGCAGTATTTCTTAGCAAGCCAGTCATCCGTCTTTCAGAAGCAGGAGGCAGACGATTAATGTTGCATTACCCTCTCCTGACACTTAATTAATGACAATATTTGGGGATACTACAACAGAAGACATCTGGCATGTGTTACTTAGTCTCCCATGGCGAAGGGGCATGGGGAGCTACGCAGGTTCAGATGTAACGTCTCCGATTGAGACACACAGAAAGGAGAAAAGTTTCTCCAAGTTGCCCTTGGCCAACGCAATCAGGTTCCTTCCCTTGCAATCCTTTCCACAGGGACGCCTAGCCGAGGGACCAACTCGGTATTTAGCAAGTCCACAACCAATTTTGGCTTGCTGGAAAAATCAAGCCTGGAGGACCTTGGAGATGTGTCCATTGCGATGCCACCCGACATGACGTGTGCACGCATGAAGGGGAAGCCAGCACTCAACTCCAAGACGTAAGCCAACATGTTAACAGGCTCCGGCTGGGCAGCCGACAGCCCGTGGCTGTCTCGAGAAAGCTGATGTTTCTGCATCAGCTGCTTTTTGCAATCCACTGAGGGTGGCTTCAGCGTCACATCGGTAACCACCAAATGATGGGCAAGCTGGACACAATGAGGTATCTCTTCAAATATTTAGAGATTGCAAGTGTCTTGAATTATTCAGTGCATTTGCATTAAAAATAGCGGTCCTTTCATACAGCACAATAAGTATTCATGTTTTTTAACCTAAAGTACAATTCACTGAGATTCATCGTTTGTCTAGTCCACATTTCAATTCTCTTTTCTTATGGTTCTTTCATTGTGCCCAAGTATCCTATTCTTCCTTGCTTTTATGCCTTTAATTTTGCCTTGTAGAATAGCCTAAAAATCACTATTTACAACTGAACAGACAACTCGCACTTACTTCAATACCTTCTCCCTTTTCAAAGGAAAAAAATCATAATTACACCCAAACTCATAAGAAAACAGAAAACCAGGAGAAACCTCTATGCTTCTTTTATATTTCCATCCAGGGGGAACAGCTATTTGCAAAACAACGAAATGTTTCCTGAAGAACATTTGCAACCCTCAAAACTTGAAAACCAAGTCAGGCTGCATTAATGAACAGCCCAGTCGAAATCAAAGGCAACTGAAGAGAGGGGTGATGTTCTTCCCCAGTGCAAAGCGGTAACACAGCCCTTTGCCATGTTACAAGGTCCCCTTTCCTGATAGTTCTGCAGAGGTCTGAACTCTCAGTCACGTCTACACCGTAGCCACTGCAGCCTCACCCTGCGGTGCAAGCCAGACCCAGGACCAAAATTAAATGCAAGAATATGCTCCAGCTAACAAGGCCTGCTGAAAGCCAGGCTAGATTAACCCAGATCTGACCCTACAGCAATTGCCCAGATCGGGATCTGGAGCACATCTGGGCAGCTGGAGATGTGGTCTTATCTGTCCATGCTCACATGGGCTGGCCTCTCCAACAACAGCTCAGAAGTGGGCAGGATGAGACCTACCTTCCACCTCCGTGCACGAACCAGCCCCATGTCAACAAGGACAACCGTTGCACTACCAGTGTTCTGGCAAAGGATGCCTCCTACAACGTGCCTGCGTCAAGAAGGGGACACAGTAGAGTCAACGCCTTCAACACACAAAAGCAGGAGGTTATAATCATTAGCTGCACTCCATGTTATGACAGTGACATTATGAATTTGCTTTTATGAAGCGCAGCTTTGACTTGCACATTTGGGACCATTTCAGATACACAGGTTGACACCTGGATGCTTTTCTCTTTCTATTTTAGTGTTTCTAGAGTCCTTCGGGGCAAGGGGGCAACAGATAAGAAAAGCACATCTGGTCTTTGCTTAAAAACATGCCACAAAAATAGAATCCACAGTCATTTGCAAGACACTGTTCATGGTTTCAGCATTTCCTGAGCAAGTTTTTGACCCTGTTGCCACATCCGTGCGCATTTCCCAGATTCAGGCAGCCTCCACAGCAGTTAAAGTTACCCTCTGTGGAAGCACAGCCCACTGCCCTTTGCACATCTTCTCATCTACTCCCATCATCTGTGTGCCTACCGCCAGCCACAGAGCAACCATTTGGACAAACTTCTTGCAAAGGTTCTGGGTAGATGAGGAAAGACATGAGCTGGTCTAAAGAATATGCTACATTTCTTCTTGTAGTCCCCCAAAATACCTCCAGAATCCTCATCAGCCGCTGCTCTTCCATGTTGCAGCCTCAAGTCCTGAGCATGGTAAGATGTGGTGCCTCACCATACAAGTCGAACCCAACAGAAGTTTGGTTTTCACCTTTGAAAATCACTACCAGAAATGACCTCTGGAGAGAGTGTGATATTTATACATCAGCCACAGTGAACATGAGCAAGAAAAACTTCAGTCCCCAGGGAGTCAAGTAGAATAAATTACAGCAAGGGATCAATACTTTACCGAGAGGTTGATAGCCTTGTCTCGAAGGGCCGCCAAACGGATTCCTGCTCCCAAATCCACTCCCATCAATGGATCCATAAGACATTTTCTAGATAGCAATGGATGCGGGATTATACTTCAAACCTAAGAAAACAGAGAAAAAGACAGATACAACACTGTTAAAAGTCAGTTAAACTCCAGTATTCTAAGAAAAAAGGAAAAAAAAAGGCAAATGAAAAAATACAGGACTATCTCCAAACTTCATAATGCCTACTTGCAGAAAAAAAAAACCAAACACTAAAATCCAGGTCTCCTGGACTACAGCTGATCTTGGGGGTAAACAAGTCATTTGACCTCCCTGTGCCTTATTTTCTCCAGTGATAAAGGGCAACCATTTATCCGTTTCAGCCACAGCAAGATTTTTAATTCCTCGCTGTTCACAAAGAGCTTTGAGATCCTGAGCTGGTAGGCAAAGACTAGGCACTCAATCAATGCTGTCTTCTGGAACATTACCACTATGCAGCTGGCTAGGAGTCTATCCATCATACTGCAGTCTTGATGAGCTCTCAAAAGAGACAGTTTACTGCCATATTATGAGCTCCTGGGCCTTTAGTATAAATATTGGAGCCAAAGTTATTTTTCCTTGCTCGTTTAAAAAAAAAAAAAAAAAAAAGAAAAAGCTGTAAGGCCTAAGGTAGCAGCAGCAGAATGAAATCCATGCAGCACTGTCAGAGAAAGACTGCTTCTTCCCCCTTCCCATCCACAAGCGTTGTCTCACCATGGGCCCCAGATACCCTCCAGCATATCAGCAGAGTCCCAGGACTTAGATATTAAAAATAGTTCAACTCTGAGGCATGGAGATGTCAATGGCAAAGGAAGAGAAGACATAAAGGTGCTGCATCAGTTGGGGCATGATACAGGACCAAAACCCAGCTGCTGCTTCCTTACACCAAGACTGAAAAAATGCCCCAAACAGGGAAAATCTGGAGGCTGAGGATAGAGACTTACTCCCTGAAAAAGGTAGAAGACAACGCTACCTACTGGGTAGCCCGTCATCAAGCAGCGATGCAGTGACGCTGCAGTATAGCAGCATGGGAGAGTCCAGTGGAGAAGACACGTTGGCATGAGATGGCTAGGAATACCACCTTCCCTCCATGTAGGGAGTTGCTCTGTCTTATAAATGTCACTTTTTAACTGAAGGACAACCAAAAAAACTGGGCCAACGAACCACCCTCTCCAACAAGCTTGTGCAACCCCTTCAGCGCGATGGCAGAATCATAGAATGGTTTGGGCTGGAAGGGACGTCTAAAGGTCATCTAGTCCAAACCCCTGCAATGAGCAGGGGGATCTTCAACTAGATGAGGTTGCTCAGAGCCCTGTCCAACCTGACCTTGAATGTTTCCAGGGATTGGGCACCTACAGCCTCTCTGGGAACCTGGTCCAGTGTTTCACCACCCCCATCATAAAAAATTTCTTCCTTATAACTAACCTGAGTCTCCCCTCTTTTAGTTTAAAACCATTACCCCTTGTCCTATCGCAACAGGCCCCACTAAAATGTCTGTCCCCATCTTTCTTATAAGCTCCCTTTAAGTACTAAAAGGCCGCAAGAAGGTCTCCCCAGAGCCTTCTCTTCTCCAGGCTAAACAAACTCAACTCTCTCAGCCTGTCCTCATAGCAGAGTTGTTCGAGCCTCTGATCGTTTCTGTAGCCCTCCTCTGGACCTGCTCCAACAGGTCCATGTCTTTCTTGTACTGAGAAAGATGTCAGGGTGTAAGGCTGGATGACATGAGATGCAACACTCCGTCCTGGGCTTGGATACTCAAACTGCACATGGCCTGGACCAGCCACTTTCCCTCTGACATGCATAAAGCTGGGAATGGTCTCCAGCTTGTAAGAGCTCCTTGACACATAGAATCATTATTAAGGTTGGAAAAGACCTCTAAGATCATCGAGTCCAACCCTCAACCCAACACCACCATGCCCACTAAACCATGTCCCTAAGCGCCTCATCTACACGTCTTTTAAATACTTCCAGGGATGGTGACACATGGCCACGTGTTGCATGATGTCCTGATGTATGCACTGCTAGATGCCTCAGCAAAGGGCTGAAGTCTCTTTTGGGGTGCACTGACACAGTGGTGTACTTGCAACTATTTCTTTGGTTTGTCCTCCCTGGAGAGCAGAGCACCAGAAAATTCCCAGTTCTGGACTGTACTGGGAAGAGTCTAACGGTCTCAGGCACTTCTTGTACTCCAACCCAAACTATTCTATGATTCTATGATTCATTCTCTTTTTTTCTTTCAAAGTTTCAAAACCAAGCAAAAAATTACTGCTGAGATTTGCCAGACAGGGAAACTCCAGGACTAAAGGAAATCGCTCACCATCCTCCCTTAATTGGGCCAGACACATATGAGGACGAAACTGCCTTGAGAAAGCAATGGATGGGAGCTAAATCCATTAAAAGTGGAGAAAATCCAGAGTACAGCTTCCCCACCCAGCCTCAGTGTACCACGTACACACATAACTGGCATCTGAGGCTGCAGGTACCCCTAGACCATAAATCTTTAATTTTAGGAAAACAGTTTTCAGTCCAAACCTATGGCAGCCAACGTGCAATAGCCCAAGCAGCCAGAGAAAGGATGAGTACGTGCATTTGTGTGTGCATTGAGGAGACAGAAAATGAAGTAAACAAAAGGGAAAGTTAAAAGAAGCCATCCGTGAACCATGGGTTTCCAAGACACTCAACAACACAACAGTCGATTATGTCCAGCATGTAAAAATATAAGCACCACAAAAATGTAATAGATGATGTTTTGATGGAAGTTCTTCATCACAACCACTAACCACTACAAGAAACAGATGAAGATTCACTTGGGAAGTCTGCGGTGGCCTTGGGAAGAAATCTTGCCTCTCCCAGGTCTCAGGTTAGCCCACAACTACCACAGCAACACAACCTCCATTGCAAAACACAACCCAAGATCTAGCAAAACGCTTACCTGGAAAAATAAGGGCACATAGAAGACAGTTACAGGAACATTTCTGGGCAGGGATAAGGAGTTATCTTATTTTCTTTACCTCCCAGCATGGCTACAAATTAAGACTGTTGTAAGCAGGGAAGTGGGGCAACCACAGGTAAACCGCCTCTCTTTACCTCCCAGCATGGCTACAAATTAAGACTGTTGTAAGCAGGGAAGTGGGGCAACCACAGGTTGAAAACCGCCTCTGTACAGAGGTTGGTCCTGACCCATCCTTTCTTTTTAGAGATAAGCAAGTGGAAGCATTTGCTGCCACGACGTCCCCAAGGTCACATACAACAAACGTGGAGTGAAAGTCTACACCATGTTGTAAAATGACTTGATTACAACTGGGCAAGTGTTTCTTTGGCAAACAGTGAATGCATCTATTTTTTCCCCAACAGAGTGGTGTGAAAGGGGGAGAGAAGGAAGGCTTTTAGAGCACTCCAAATGTTTCATGTTGATTTATCATTTTCAAAGCATGCTTCCATTTTAAAACTTTTTCTCCCTGTAAGGGGAAAAAAAAAAAGAAAGAACTGAAAATGAAATATTTTGTTTTAGTTTAACCAACCTTTTCAGAAACAACCACTCCCACCCCATCCTACTAAACCACTGAAATATCCCTTATTCACACAGCTCCAGAACCACACTCCTACCCCACAGCAATGTATTTACAGGAAAATTTAACAGCAGATCTAAATACCTTTAATTTGATTGGCAATAACAGCGTTTCCCTCCCCATTCCCATGGCACCTCCCAAGTCTTTTGTCTACTGCTCCTCAGGGAGACTTGTCCAATTTACTGCGAAGGCAGTTTGTACAAAATGGAACAAGCGTTGCCTAACATACTAGATACAGAAAAAATAAAAATAAAAAAAGGAGAAAAATAAGAAAAAGATTTTATCACAGCTTTATCCTCATCACCTAAAATACCAACGAAGGAACAACAATACCCAAGCCAGACTAAAAGGACATTCATCCTGCCAGAGGCATGAATTTGTATTTTAATGACATGCAACTACTTCTTGCTTTGTATATCCTGTAGAAGTCAATCATGCAGTGAGGATAACAGTAGGATGTAGGATCTCAAGGAAAAGGTTGGTCCATGTTTCTTGGATTGGGAAAGATACTGGCAGGCAAAACCAAGCGGGCAAAATTATTTAAAAAATTCCCCTATACACATCAGTCTCCATTTAGAGGGACATTCAGATGGCCAGCATAGAATCACAGAATCATAGAATCATTGAGGTTGGAAAAGACCTCTAAGA